TATCATGAAAATTTCATAGATCTGAAATTTTCACCATTTTTTAATTAAATTAAAAATATTGAATATTTTTTATGAGATTTGGTGCGTTTGAAATATGATCGAAGCCTTTACAATGCATGTATGTTGATTTGTTCAATTATTCAAACATTGAGAGTCGTTTCTTGCTCGAAATGTTGCTCGATTTTAGGGGTTTTTGAAAATTTGATTTTCTAAAAGAAAAATATTTTGCTTAATAAAATTATGTTTTTTGTTGAATATGAGAAGTGTTTTTCTATTTTGCTTAATAAAATTATTTTTATTAAAATTACGATGTTTTAATACAATTATGCTTTTTGATGAATATGGGAAGTGTTTTTCTATTTTGCTTAATAAAACCTTTTGATAAAATTACTTTTTTGTTGAATTGATTCTTCTTTTTAATAAGTGCATGATAAGTGCTCGATCTTGTGCTCGATTTTTTTTTGCTCGGTTTTTCAATTATGTTTTTTGAAGTGCATGATATAGTTATATTTGTAAATATGACATTTTGTTTTTTTAAGTACATGCAAAAATTTTGGTTGTCTTATGTTCAATGAAACACTACACCATGGTATTGTATGTGCTTGGTTCTTCTCTTTTTTAATTTTTTTTTTCATTTTTTATCAAGGTTTTTGGAATGTTATGGAAAAAGTCTTTAAAAGATCAGCCGATTTTTTAAAAATCGGCTTACTAACTCGGGATCAATCAAATATGGCCCAATTCCAGAGAGAGAGATAGAGAGAGAGAGAGAGAGTTTTACAAAGGTGATCTTAATTTCAAATCATCCATCACATTTAGCAATATGGGTTGGGTCATTAATATCAAAATACACCCAAGAAGTCTAGGTTAATCTATCGAATGGAACCTATCTTTGAAGGTTCAAACTTGAAAAGTGCCTCTACTAGAATTGTTTTAATTTTTTTTTATTTTCTAGGTATTTTTGGACCCATTTTAAAAAAAAAAAAAGCTACCAAACTGGTTAGTTTGGTTCCAATTCTAACTGCTCTAGGACCCATGTCCAGTTAATCGTTTCGATTTGATTTTGTTAACATTGTTTCACATTCACATTTCCTTTTAAAGGTGCAATTTCTAAGCAAAAAAATAAATAAAAATAAAAGCCCCACCTAGAAATATTGTTCGAAGAACACTTCAGGCATGGTAAATCTGTAATATGACTCCAAAATCTATTTGTACCACTGACTGTGAAGTTTTTAACTAAAAAATTGGTACAGATCTTGTGGATCCATGATCACTTGAAAATAGACAATCTAGATAATGTATTATAATATACACTATTTTTGGGCTTGAAATCCTAATCTTGTCTGTAACCATAATGACCAAGATAGAGATAATCAATTTGAAAGGTTTTCAATACGGAAACTATAATTTTTAGTACGTTTTAAACTGAAGCTTTGCTTTTTCTATAAAGCCTAGGCCTTATTTTAACATTTTTCTTTTTAAAATTTGTCTGAAGTGCTCAGCTCAATATTTTTGAAGTGTTTACCTGACCGGAAGAAGCTTAGACTCTGTGCTAAATAAACCTGAAGCTTGGATCACACGTGTTGATTCACACATTAAATTTGTCGCAAGACAGGTGTGAGAGAGTGATTATTAAATACTATTTTTATACAATGCTTTCTTGTCTTAAATATTGGATAGAAAGTAAAAAGGATTGTATGGAAAGAGCCTAGGGACGTGGTAGTAGCATCCCCACATCTAGTTATCACATCATGGTATCCATTTCTACTGCTGATACTCTCAATGAACACCTTCAAAATGTAACTCTCCCCATCTACTGAAAAAAAAGCGTATGGGCATGTCTTCCCCATTGAAAATTACCCAAAAATAAAGAAAGAAAAAAGATTGTATATTATGAGACTATTTATCTTGGTATTGGCATGTCTTCCCCAATGAAAATTACCCGAAAAAAAGAAAGAAAAGTATTGTATATCATGAGACTATTTATCTTTCTTACAAAGAGGTTACAGTTACTCCTAACCATTAGATATCAAATTTTGATAGCTTAGGGGTCTCAAGAAGTTTCAGAAATTCTTGTTTGAACTTTAAGTTTAGTTAATGGCATACTCATGAGTCATAATCACTCAATTTGAAATCTTAAGGATAAGAATGAGTTTGACCTCCTCGTGCTAAAAGTGAATGGTCTTCTACAATGAGGCTTGGACTTGGGTGGTTAGCAACAATTGACCTCCATGATGAACCGCTAGAGGGATTTATTGGGATTAAATTTGATATAATGTACTTTTTTGAAAAATAAATAAATAAAAACATTGAACTGTTAAACGATCAGATTTATTTTTTATCGAATAAAGACAAATTTATTAAAATATCCATACTATTCAACATTTTACCATTTTACAACTATTCCAACTAATGATTACGTGTCTTGTGATAGGTATTTTGAAATTAAATTAAAATACATGGGTAAAAAATTAAATAGTTTATATCTTATGTATATTTTGATAAAATTCCGACCTTTGTGCTAGTGTTTTTGCTTTGAAAATTATCTAAGTGTTATTTGAAAAAACTAACCTTTAGAAGTAAGATTTTGGACTTACAAAGAATGGTTGTTTTTGTCCCACATTGTCCAATAAAGAAGAGAACCACATAGCGATGTTACTCATCGCTCTAATAGTTTTTGGTGCGTGCAACTTTAAAGATACATTACAAATCAAATTCCTTATTTTTGATAATTTATATATATTTTTTTGAATTGTTTTTTTAAAATACAGGTTGATCACCCTAATTGCGCAAAACCAGAACCGGCCACTGACCGGTTCCAATTTAATCAGGCGATTAACGGTTAGATCGGACGATCTTGCCAACAATAATTGTAATCGATGAACGGTATAAACGGTCATGTGAAGGTTGGTTCAAAACCGCATAAAACGAGTAGTCCCAAGGCATGGGAGGGTCATAACCCATTATTTGAAGGGCCATTTCCCCTCTTTATAAATAGGTTTAGAATATCCTTGTTAACTTTCTCCTCTAGAAGAAATGCAGCTCTTGTATCAAAACCTGCGGTTCTCGCAGGTATCTCAAGGATTAAGGGTAGGAAATAGGTCCGCTTGACCTGTGGATCAAATGGGTCGACTGGGTTTGGTTTTCCGACCCACACAGTAGACCCAATGGATCGGTTTCGGACCCCTATATATATTGAAGATGAACCGATTTCAATTGTTTTCAAATTCCTCAAACAACCGTGATTTTTCACTGCGTCGTTTTACCCCTACCCACTAATTCCAACAGTGCCTTCACTGGAAGATGAAAATGGCGGACTTACTTCTCTCTCTCTCTTTGGAAACTCAAGTTTCTTATTTCATTTTTCCCTTAATTTTCCGTAATGGCTCCGAGCTTTACATTAAGTATAAACCCATTGAGTTTTAAAATTATTTAGGTTTTACAAAATAAAAACTTCTAGAAATTCAAGTTTCTTATTTTTTCTTTCCCGTAATTTTCCGTAATGGCTCAGAGCTTTACATTAAGTATAAGCCGATTGAGTTTTAAAATTATTAAGTTTTACAAAATAAAAACACCGGTGGGGAAGACATGCTCGCGGTTGGTATACCGACCTGTTTATATTTTTGTGGTGGGAACAGTAATCAATAAATCGTAAAATAGCAAATAAATATATGTATTTTATTTTAAAAAAAGAAAAGAAAATATAAAATTAATTTGACCATTAGATTTGGCTTCATGCACCTTCACCAGTCCACATGATGTAAACGGGATGCAAGTAGGGGTTCTATCTAAAGATAATGGAAACTAACGGTCCAAATATTTTTTTACTAAAATTATTATTTTTAATTTTTAAATTTTTTTTATTTTTTCACCTTCATGATATCCATGTTAGATATTACATGTCTTTAAAAATTAAGTCTTAAAATCAATCTCAAAAATAGATTTATTAAGAAGCCCACATTTCTATATATGCAGCCAAGTCCGCATAGAAACTGGGTATAATGAAATTTGAAACTTAAAAAATAGTATAAAACTTATGGATATATAAACACTTATTTTTAGAGTGAAATAGATAGCTTAGATGATTTGTTGCAATATACACTATTTTTTAAATTTGAAATCCTAATTGTTTTGCACAACCATAATATTCAAACTCCGATGATTGAGTTAAAGGTGTTTCTAATACTTAGAATTGTAATTTTGGATGAGTTAGGACCCTACCAAACGATTTTCTATAAATAAACTGAAAATAAGCAACCTGATGCTTTTTCCAATACGCGGCGGCACCTCGCCTCTAAATTTTCTTCCTCAGCCACCGTCCTACACTCACTCTCTTTCTAGGATCACTCCCTTCCAGCTGTAGGGCAGGGCAGGGCAGTTGAAACCCCGCTCCCACGTCCTTTTCACCGAGTTGCCTTTTCCTCTCTGCAGGGCGCCCAGCCGATCATTTCCGACAGAGTCAGTGCCTAAAACCAGGGGACCACCTGATCCCAACCCCGCTTCACGCCGCGTGGAGCCCCACCCGTACGGAAGATAAGAGAAGAAGAAGGTAATACGGGGTAAGGCGGCGGGGACCACGATTCCACCGGACCTTTCCCTTTTAATATCTCTAGGGGACCACCCTATTTTTTTTTTTTCTCTCTCTCTAAAAAAACTGGCGCCAAGCCGCGCCATTCCTGAGGCTCACAACACAAACGAAAAAGAGAACACCTAAGAGTCAAATAGCGGTTTAAGGGCACGGGAACGGGGACCACATAGGGGGCTTTCATACTGTTGGCGGCATCCCATTGGGTGAGATTGCAGGCGTGCTTTGTAGAAGGGCCCGCCTTGTGGTCCAGGGTTTGGGGAGGGCGCCACGTGTCGTGGGGACCGATCGGTGGTCGCTTTCGAGAGAGAGGAGGAGGGTTTTGTTGCTTTCGCGAAGAGAGGGTTCACATGACACATACAACACGACCGACCGCCTTTAACCCGCCCTTAAATGCCCACCATTATTAACTCCTGTCTCTTTGCTGCTCCTCCTGTCGTTCATTTTTAGAGAGAGAAAGTGCAGAACCAATTTCTAGAGAGAGAAAGCGCAACTTCCCAAATTGATCCAAACTACATTCCAGGTTCCCATTTCTCTCTCTTTCTCGACATCCATTTTGCCACGTAGCATCGTCCATGCCGTGTGATCTGTTCTTGCCACGTGGAGTTGTCATCGCCGTTAGTTCCTTACGTGTCGTGCTTTGCAGCTTTGTGGTTCTCTTGTTTGTGGTATTTCTCGGGGAGTAGCGCCGCAAGCCAAATTAATCGGGTTGGAATTAAATTTGGCGGCGGGGGCAGAAACACCCCCCAAATCTAGGGGCTTGTTGAGGTCTTCCTGCCGTCCGATTAAGAAAAGAAAACCTCTCTCTTTTCGGATAAGTGGTTTCTCTCTCTCTGGTTTTTGCCAAGCGGACGGCCGCGGATAATTCAACGTCTCGAAGGGGCGGACAGGTAGAGAGAAACACTGCGCCACAACAGGGAAGAAAACCAGAGAGAGAGAGAGAGATTTGAATTTCCGGGAATTGAGGATTGTTGGAGGAGAGAGAGAAAGAGAGGGGTAGTGAGAGAGGGAGTGAGAAGAGATGTGAGTTTAGAGGGAGAGAGTCAACGGAAGGAATGGCGTTCCATAACCTGAGTCAAGAAATGGGCGGAATGCCTCACTTCAGCGAGCAGCATTTAGGGGGAGAAAACGAGGCCCTCCGCACGATAATCTCCGACCAACTCCACCATTCTCAATCCGCCATACCACCATCCGAACAAAAAGAACACAAACTCATAATGGACCCAACCAAGCGCCAACCTCAGCCAAGGCCTCAACAGCAAATAGGAGGTGGCGCCGGCGGCGGTGGCGGTGGCGCCCCTCCCACTTGGCTGAGCAACGCGATCCTCCGTCAGCAGAGTGCCGGCGGGGCCCACTTCGACGACGCTAACCAGGCTGCTGCTGTGGGGGCGCGCAAGTGGTGTGGCTGCGCCCCTGGTTCGCGTTGCGTGCAGTGCAGTTTCCTCCACTTGCAGACTGGCGATGATGTCACTGCAGTCTCGAGTGACTCCATGATCGGAGGAGGGGCCGGGATGTCTGGAGATGTTAATAATGGGAGCGGTGAGTTAGTCGAGAGCGAGAAAAGTGAGGCCCAGCAGCAACAGCACCAACAGCAACAAGGGGGAGGGGGAGGGGGAGGGGGAGGCGGAGGAGGAGGCGGAGGGGGAGTGGGGGGGTGGGAAAGTGCGAGGTACAAGGCGGAGATATTGTCGCACCCGCTGTACGAGCAGCTGCTTTCGGCGCATGTCGCGTGCTTGAGGATCGCCACGCCTGTGGACCAGCTGCCAAGGATTGATGCACAATTAGCTCAATCGCAGCATGTTGTGGCCAAGTACTCAGTGCTAGGGGCGAGCGGCCAGATTGTGCCGGGGAATGGGGATGATAAGGACCTCGATCAGTTCATGGTCAGCCCCTTCCTCTCTCTCTCTCTCTCTCTCTCTCTCTCTACGTACGTACGTTACGTACGTAACGTAACGTAACGTAACGTACGTACGTACGTCTCTCTCTCTCTCTCGTCTTCTCTCTACTACTACTACTACTTACTTCT